GCGGCCCGGCCCCGGCGGCCCAGAGACTGGGCCACATGGAATCGTCCCGCACAAGCCTTTGTATACATTCCACCAGCGAATTGAAACAGGCGTCGTCCTCCACCCCCACCCCCTCCCCTGCCCTCTCTCCAGAAGCCGTGTTCGCGATAGGGTTTGTGTGCCCTTCCGCGTAAACACACGGGCTTCGGCGGGCTTCGCCGTGATCGCGGGGCCCAGCGTGCACGCGCACCCGCATGGGGGTCGGGTCTGTTATAAAACCCTGGACCCTCCTCCCCTTTCCCCCAGCTGCCCTCGCCAGCGGTGGTTGCGTCGGCCGCGCGCGCGGACTGCTGCGGAGTGCGGACTCGCGAATAGGGGCTCTCTCTCTGCTGCTCATTGTTTCTGCAGCCTGAAATAGACCGCAGCTTTGTACTAACCGTCGAGCGTGCTGTGTGCGCCGCTGGCTGTGTTCGGCGTTGCGCGTGCAGATGGGTGACATCTTTCTGATGACGATTGGACCGCACGTTTGTGTAACGTTCGTGAAGCGGACGTTGTGATCCTTCTTTTTTTTAGGTTTGGCACCCGAGTAATTGCTCGGACCGGACAGGCATGGACAGCGCGGATGTACGGTACGGTTTTGGGGCGTTTGCAAGTTTCGGTTGTACCGAACGTTCGAACGCGAAATGTTCTAGAAATTGACCTGGAAAGTCATGGAAAATACCAAGAGCCTTTAGTAAAACTGTGGAATCAAAATGTGTCTTTCTAGACCGACTCTCCCACGCTATAAGTGAGCTATAAGTGACAGCTCGCCTCAACTTTCTAATCATAACGAAATTTCCGTAGCAACACAACCCGCCTTACACCCCCCCCCCTTCCCCCTTTTCGCAGTGGGGATCTTTTTTTATTTTTTTTAAAATAGAACTGTTTTGCCTCTGGACACCGGGGCGGTCGCTGGCTGCGTTTGGGGACGGACGTCGGACGCAACGCTCGCACTCGCGCGCATTCCGGGGGGAAACCGTGATGATGAGAGTGGTCTGCTGCTGCTGCTCGCTCCCTGATCGGCTTAGAGCTCCACTGAATGGAATGGCGGTCCAGTGCAGCCAGAGTGCACGGCCGGGGCCAGGGCCGGCCGGGGCCACGGCCCGTCTCTCCCGCCCGCTGTGACCCTCTGTGCGGCCCGGGGCCAGCAGCCCCGGGGCCAGCCCCTGTCCAAGCCGGCGGCGAGGGCCGCAGACACGCGCGGCCGCACAGACATGCGCCGCCCGTTGTACACCGCGCCCGCATATAATGGGGCCAGCCCTATTGAAAAGGGGTTTCCAATAGGTCCACTGGTTCCAGGTTTGCACCCCTTCCGCCGCGAGCGCGGACGCGACATTTTACCGCAGAGAGAGAGAGAGGGAGAGGAGCATGAGATGAGGGGCTGCTGGCAGAGAGACAGGCGGACCACACGATGGGTAAGGCCACAGGAGGGGGAGGGGAGGGGGGGGCTTGCCCCAGTCATTGGCCAGCGTGGGAGTTCCCTCCTAGCCCCTTTCCCTCCCTCCTCCCCTCCACGCTCTCGCGTCGCGCCTCCGCATCTTACACGTATGTATGAGGAAGAGACGCCGCCGCCACAGGCAGAGGGATGTGTCGCCCTCTCACTTGCGCCCAGTGGCGGGCTGGCTGGGCCGAGCGCGGCCGGGGCCGGGTGAGTGACCGGCTCGGCAGGACTGCAAGCCTTGCATTCATGGCAGGCACGCCAACCACGCGAGCCCGAGCCGGCGGCGGCGGCCCGCTCGGACTGCTTGGACGACGTACGACTTGGCGAACGCATAAATCTTGTGCGAGCAAGAGAGAGAGAGA